CCGTGTTGTTCCAGCGCATCTACCGCAACACACGCACACACATGCCGGCTTTCTATATTCGTCCTGTTCCGCCCTTCATATTCTTAAATAACGTTAATTGGTATTTATGTTCGTCCGATTGTCTTTTTCCGCATACTTCACCAGCTGCCTCTTTTCTGCCCTCCAGACCCTTACCCGCTATACCGTTCTATGTAGCCCTCTTAAGTATTCGGCTTCTTTTTTAGGTAATAGTCTATGATATACAACGCACCGGAGACCAAGAACCCCAGAATTATGTAGTACGGCACCGGTGCGGCATCACAGGGCAGTAGGAGAGAAAATAAAAAGATAGCAAACAAAAACAGGAATTAGTAGATAAAATTGTTATAGAACGCTAATATATCATCGAATAGGCGTGCGATAATTGAAAAATCAACAAAAATCAACTTGCGACAAATCAGAGATAACTACCTAAACCGCTCATGAGTATATCAAAGCAGGTCAGTAGTGAATGCCTGATACAGCGAATAGGAAATGTTAAATGTGAAACTGAAACCCTAATTGTTTGAGCCATATGGGCGTAGCGTTACATATGATAGATTGTGACCCTGATTTATTCCACCAGTCTCTTATGTGTTGCAGAAGTGAAGCCGGTTCTTTCTTCTCAACTGTCACACCCTGACCCTTTTTACCTGCTAGCTTTACCCTCATGTCCTTACGCTCACGTAGCTTTATTTACTATCAGATCTCACCGAGCCAACTAGCCCTAGCGCATTAAAACAGCTGTAACAGTCATATCCCCGGCGGGCCGTCTGTCGTACTTTCTGTTCTTTTTCGATCTTTTCACTCGCTCCTGTTCACAAACAGACGGCGCTGGAGCTTTGGGTGAACAGGACAATCTAATATTTACCAAAACGTTACTTTTAAGTCAGAAAACGCGGATAGATTCTTTTTATTGGTTGACAGTCAGCTTCCCTTTGCTTTTCATATGATCACAATTATCGATTGCCTCAACAGAAATGGGCACCAACTAGGTTCTTCCTCTATATCCCTTTATTCCTATCTTTTTTCTGTACTCTCTCCATTGCTACTTTTTGTTTAAAGTCGCAATGTGGTCCTCCCGTTTGCTGCCCACTTTGTTAGTTTTACAGATATCTGACTTTCGGAGGCTGTCCGCATCCTCACTTCCAGTATTGTCCATGCACACTGTCGCACCTCAGTCAGTACTTGCTTATACAAAACTATTTCCACCCTCAGATCACGCAGAACTTGTGCACCACTACATGTCTCTGGGCATGTATACGGAGGCCCTTTTCACTCTGTCAGCGCACCCGTCTTGTGCCAACCTGCACTACACTTATGCAGTTCAGCTCTCCTCTTGTGATCCGAAAATGCTAGTGGATGCCTGGATTCGTGCTGGTCAACGACTGGAGCCCTCAAGGTAACTTAG